ATATATATATATATATATATATATATATATATATATATATGTAAAATATATATATATATGTATATGTATATATATATTATATATATGTGTGTGTGTGTGTGTGTGTGTGTGTGTGTGTGTGTGTGTGTGTGTGTGTGTGTGTGTGTGTGTGTGTGTGTGTGTGCGCGTGTGTGTGTGTGTGGGAGGCCATCTAAAATGCTGAAGATTTTTTTACCTATTTTTTTTTTCTATTATAATATATGTATGATAGCGTGAAACGTATTTGTTTAAATATTAGCAAAATCTAAGTCCGGTTTCTTTGTTCTAATTAATGATTGCTATATATATATACATGTGTGTGTGTGTGTGTGTGTGTGTGTGTGTGTGTGTGTGTGTGTGTGTGTGTTGTGTGTGTGTGTATGTATATATATATATATATATATTAATATGTATATATATATAATATTATATATATATATATATATATATATATATATATATATATATGTGTGTGTGTGTGTGTTGTGTGTGTGTGTGTGTGTGTGTGTGTGTGTGTGTGTGTGTGTGTGTGTGTGTGTTTGTGTGTGCTCATTCATGATCCTAAAAAAAGCATTTCTAGTTTCCATAAATAATTACGGGTATGGATGCATAACCTTTAACATTTTCGTTTAAAGTTCAGGCTAGGATTACAGTGTACAATAATTGTTTTCCCCATTCTCTCTCTCTCTCTCTCTCTCTCTCTCTCTCTCTCTCTCTCTCTCTCTCTCTCTCTCTCTCTCTCTCTCTCTCTCTCTCTCTCTCTCTCTCTCTCTCTCTCTCTCTCTCTCTCTCTCTCTCTCTCTCTCTCTCTCTCTCTCTCTCTCTCTCTCTCTCTCTCTCTCTCTCTCTCTCTCTCTCTCTCTCTCTCTCTCTCTCTCTCTCTCTCTCTCTCTCTCTCTCCTCTCTCTCTCTCTCTCTCTCTCTCTCTCTCTCTCTCTCTCTCTCTCTCTCTCTTTCTCTCTCTCTCTCTTCCCCGCCCCCACTCCCCCCAAAAAATATTTTAAACATATGAATATCTATGAATATATGTATACATTTTTTATGTACATATATATTCATTTATGCTTATACCTATATGCAAACACATTTAAGGCACAATGAAAAAATAAATTAAACTCTATACATCCGTATCCCCTACTATTTGTTTATACACGTGCGGGACGTTGAGGAGGAAGGACCTTTTTCTGGATTTTCTAGTTATTCATATCTTCAGCAAAATGGTGAGATATAAAGTATGGTATTCATAATGTGTATGATGCCACTGCCCTTATATTTAATGTAATTTTTCATCTGAAAGAAATGTAAATGCTGCTCTATTATTATTATAACAAGGTACATTACTTTCACTCGTGTTATGTTCTAATGCAATTATTGATATGAGCATTATCATACTGTGTCCGTTTTTTATTTTACAGTAAGGTGAAACACTTTGGAATAATAAAGGCTAAAACACTTTTCATTTTTAAAACATTAGTTATTCTTAGTTCAGGCTAAGGTTATATTGTAGCCAGCTGATTTTGTTATCGAAGGGCTTCAGTCTATTATTAGGTTAATTTCTCCATCGTATGGCAGCCATGGCTTGCAGAGATAAAGTATATATTTTCCAATGTATTTGAAAGTAATTGAAATGAGTCTAGTGATAATTTTAACAGGAAACTTTTAGGAATGATTACAGTCTATAGATGATTGGGTGAAGCGTAGCAACCGCACCTAGCAATGAGCACGGTAAAAACAACGCCGTGGATATTTTTCCGGCACTGGATTTTATAACATTTTGGCTATTCATCCTGTATACACTTGTGCTTGTGCACAGTCAATAATTCTGTCTTTGTCATTTCACGCACATCATCAAATTTTTAAATTATTATTATTGTTCCGGCACTGGATTTTATAACATTTTGGCTATTCGTCCTGTATACACTTGTGCTTGTGCACAGTCAATAATTCTGTCTGTCATTTCACGCACATCATCAAATTTTTAAATTATTATTAGAACCGAGTGGACATACATGCTAAGTTTGCTACAGTTTGACATTTCTTTGATTTTCATCCCTATTGTGATTATATTGTGCCTATAATGGATAGGACCGCACCCGTCAGAGACGAACTCCCCGACTCCTGTCAACAATGTTGGGGGATCCCGTAGGGAATCGGGGGTTGGGGGGGTCATTTCGTCCATACCATGCATTTTAAAAAGCAAAAGAATGTGGGAAATTGAAAATCTGAGCCAAGAATAGCATTTCAGATGATAAAGAAAGTGAAAAATGTAGAAACCCTAGAGAAGATTCAGCCACGGATGATTCAACACGGTGTTGCATGAACAAACAAGCGAGTGAACCGCATTTTAAACACACGAACTACCAGTAGGATCGCTGTGTGAACCAAAAATCCCTCCCAACTCGGGGGCTATGCCCCTGAGTTGCCCACTGCTGATTGCTGTATGCCCACTGCTGATTGCTGTATGCCCACTGCTGATTGCTGTATTTCCCTACCGGGGGCTTTGCCCCCGGATCCCCTCCCGATTGCCGTATTTCCCAATACAGGCAAACACCAATTAGGAGTACTTCAACTCTGGCTTTACTTTCTTATTTGGTGTACGCTTCAAGGCTGCAGCAACAGTCCTTGGATCTTTGACATAAAACTGTGCAAAAGTGCTCTCTTGAAATTTGGTCAAGCTGTCCTTCACATCAGCAAAACTGACAAATTCAGTTCCAACTTTAAAGGAATCTATAATCGATGATTGACCCTTAGCCATGAACAATTAAATAACACAAAAACAGTTTGTATGCAAGGCTAATGTGCAAGCGCGAGTGTGTTTTTGCACTCAAATAGTTAGTGCGCATGTATGCCGGACGAATAGCCAAACTGTTATAAAATCCGGTGCCGGAACAATATCCACTGCGTAAAAACAAACCCTTGCTTGTTCTAAAACTCACTGTACTTGCATATGGATTCACTGTGTTTATCCTAGAATATGAAGTTCTCATGTGTGAAAATGCCAAGGAGTTGTGTAGCCATTGCTTTTATGAACTGCATGATGGGAAAGAAAGGTCTAACCTTTCAATAATTCCCAGATCAGAAGAAACCTGAAAAATGGAAGCAATGCATACAGACCATGATATGGGAGTGATGGGAGTGCTTGGGCACCTTGTGGAAAATTTTACATTAGAAATAGAAAAGGTGTGATATATTGATATGTAGATCAATTAAACTCTCACCTTCAATAAAAATGTTTCACCAGGTGCCTAAATGCTCCCATCAGCATTTATGCATTTAGTGGCCTGAACCCATAACTTAAATTTTTTTGGTTACCTCTCTCAATCTGGGAATATATGAAAGTTTAGACCGTGCTATCCCTTCCTATTGTGGTTTGAACAACCAATGGCTACACAACACGGCATTTTTGCTATGCATTACCGAATTAGTAACAGTAAGCGGTAATCAAAATCGGTAATTCAGTTTTAGGCCACTTTAAAGGATCGTCAATTCAAATATTGGCAGATAGACTTATAGCTGCAAAGCTTTTAGTTTCAGTTTGTAATACTGTTTCTCATATCAAAGTATTCATACAGCATTTTTTCTCATGACAATAACGTACCTTTCATTATTCTATGAGAGGTTTCTATGTGACGTATTTGTTTTCACCATGTTTATTTCATTGTTATGGTAACCCTGCCTAGTGATGTCATGCCAAATTGGTCTGTTCTGTTGAAATATACATGGGTGGAAGTTGTTGGAGCACAGATAGGGTAAATGCTTTGGATACCTGCATGTCATAGATCATGATGATAGCAGTGCTGATAGATTCTTTTCACTTCCTTCTTTTCAGATATTTTGAAAGCCCCATGATCCTAGCCACAATAATTTGCTAGCAGTCATACTTATTACTGAATGGTACCTCCTGGTACTGCCTGGTGCTAGTAAATCTACTGCCCAGTAGCTATAAAGGCATTATGTATTTTTTCTTAAGTGTTTCATGTTTTCAAGGTAATCTATTCTTATATGTAATTTTAGGTCATTTTATGGTTGAGTAAATGAGATCTGAACCTTCCTATTTATGGCTCTACTGCCTCAGGTATCTGGCTGCCATATTTTGTTTGCTATGGGTTGATATAAAACACACTGGAACTTGACACATGTGGAAGGAATTGTGTCCTCAGCTATGTATGCATTATTTCTCATTTTTTGTCCCTTATTTTCTCATGTATGAGAAAGTTGTCATTAATGCTCTGATCTTAATGATTCTCTTGTGAGAGAATAATGAGAAAGTCATGTAATTAACATCCCAGTCTTGATTGATGATGCTCTTGTGAGAGTGTCTAATTGACCATGAAAGGACTTGAAAATACATATAAGAATAGATTATCTTGAAAACATGAAATTTAGGCAATAATAAGTATGATCCTTTGGGAGGGATAAAGGATATTGGAATATTTTGGGTTGAAGATGAAGAAATTAGTAAATATTCAGAATACCTTTGCATGACCAATCAAGCCAAAAGTGATATCAATGGATATTTCTCACTCTTTACTACCCATACATATATGAATTATACTGTAGAAACCACACCAATACCTACAAATATGGCCACAATAGCAGGCCAGGTACCAGGTAAATTGCAGGACAAATATGAATAATGTACAAAATATTGGTCAGTATAGGGTCAACTGCAGGAGGCTGTGCCTCTTCAACCCCCTCAATGAGAGGCTACCCCTATCAAAAACTACACAGAATGTATGGCAGGATGGAGCAATATTGAGTCACAATATAGTAACTTCTTCTGTGTATATTATTATTATTATAGTGATATATTTCATGTATATTATTCATGTTTTACTCCATAATTTCATGCCCTCCCCTGCTATCAGGGGCAATAATATGGAAGTTTTGGGGGGGGGTCCATGACAAATGTTCTATATAGTCCATAACTCAATAATAAGTAATGCTTTTTAATTGTGTTATTTTTATAATTTTTCATAACATTTATTTTCCTGTAATCCAACCTGCAATGCTGATTGTGACTGGCAGGAATAGGATGCTGAACATGGAAATAGCATCCTCCTTGGAGTTGGGGCTTTTCCAGTCATGGTTTTTAGATGGTACATTCCATACTTTTTTACTGATGGAAATAATGTCAAAGATTTTCCTAAATTGCGATTGCATATAATTACCCTTCAAGAGCTATGTGTACTTGTAGCGAGTGCACAAAGCATGGCATGTTTGCATCACCTACCAAATTTTTTCATGGCAAGAATGTCATGTCATTTAGATTGTAGGGTGTTAAGGACTCGGAACCTCATTTACTCTTGAGGTGTACAGTGAAAATCATGATAGAATTTTTATTTTATATTATAGCAGGGGTGGCCAAACTTTTTTGAGATTTGATCTACTTTTCTACAGTTAGCCTGATGCGATCTACCATCCTAAGATTCAAACATATTACATAAATGTAACTGTAACTGTATAACATCATTATAAATATAAATATAACTTATTCCCAGAAAAAAAAAAGAGAAATATAATAATCCAAGTATCATGAGTACTTGGATATGCTATTGTAGCTATTTGCATGACAACTTCTGAAGGACGAATTATCAACAGGTACAGTAGTGTGATCAACTTAAATCAGGCTTGTGATCAACTGTATGATCGCAATCGACTGGTTGGCCACCCCTGATTTATAGGATTTTTTATTTTATTTTATTATTTTATTTATTCATTTATTTATTTATTTTTTTTTTTTTTTTACAGGAAATATGCAGTAGCTATTTAATTATATTAGTTTTGTGCAGTGCAAATTCTCTTGAAACCTGCAGTAATCCAACCCACTAGTGGCACAGTGTCAGACAATTGCCATAGCCTGTACACATCTGCCACAAAATAGCACAAGGCATCTCTTTTCGTATAATGTAATGTTTGTTAATGTAGTGTATAATAAATTGAAATAGAAAGTACTAAAAGATGGGGATAAAGATTTTTTGAAACTTTAATTTAACCCGTTAAGTTTACATGTTGGGTACTCCCAGAGGTTACAAAAAAAAAAAAAAAAAAGCGCCATTTTAAAATCCCTGCACTAGGTTGCCAGACGGAGACTTCCCCTCCCCCGCTGTTGCTACATCTTCTCCCTTCGCTTCTGATGCGCTTCATACACTGTCTTCCAGCATATTTTACATGCAACCATTAGTTAATTCCTTAAAACTATATATATAAACTGAATAAACTCATTTTCAGAACAAAATCATACAAATAACATAATGCAAGTTGGTGGCAGAGGGCCCCTCACACTCATCATCATTGCTTTCCTTGCTGTCAGAATAACCTTCACCAAATACATAATCCCTATCTTTATCACTAGCATTGTGTGGGTCATCACTATCAGAGTCCCCCTTTTCACCAATAAATTCATCATCATTGCAAGAAAGCAATACATGAATGCTGGGTAAATATAGGGATCAACAGCATCTACCCGCCATGACAATAAGGACAGCTTGGCAGCAGGAGAGTACCCAGCTTTCCCCCACTGTCTAGGGAAACATGCCGAATACTACCAGGAAACTAATTACTGCCCATACAAGGCAAGAATATTATTAATATTTGTAGCACCCTCAACCATGATGATAGTGAAAATCATGAAGCGTGCCTAACCTGTGTCCTAAGATTTGTACATCATAACAAACACCCTACCAATGCACCAGAACTTGAGATCATGATAAATGCCCACCCCAAACAAGCACTTTGCATTTCTGAACTCTGAAAGCTCATGTCAAATAGGCCTAGTCCCTCCTCTAACCTTTATTTAAGTTACAAGAAAGCCCTTTGGAACACTTTTAGTCCAAAGATTATAGAAGCACTGAATATACAGTTACCCCCCCCCCCCCATCAGTCTAAACTATCAGTGATGCAGATTTTTTTTTTTTTTTTTTTTTTTTTTTTTTTAATAACTTTTTGTCATGTCCTTTCTGAAGTTGCTCTATTCTAGGGATTGGCAACCTTTTGAACATAGTGTGCCAGTTGATAATTAATGCCTTCTTATTCATAACCTTGCATGCCAGTTTTTTTTCAGCACTGTATACCCAGATGTATTTTCCTACACATGCATAACACAAATGTAATATTTTGGTAGCATTTATTTTTCTTTGTAACAAAAAATAGATATGTTTTATAATTTTAGATTTATACTCACCATATTATCTTGCTGTTTAACTTTTTCTTAGCTCCTCTGAATCACATGGCGTGCCATAGACAAGTGCTCTGTGTGCCAAGTCTGGCTCATGTGCCATAGGTTGCCGACCTCTGCTCTAAATAGAGACTAGGACATAGGACTTCCTTTTGAGTGCTTAATTAGGAATTTATAGCATAATGCTACAAAGGTACTTAAAAAAGGAATTGCATTAAGAATATGGTATGGTCTAAAATCTACATTCAAAGTTATTTAAAGTGATAAGCAAGGTGAGGCTTCAAAATTTTCTTTGTAGGAAAGCAAGGAAACAGTTTTATTTTTTTTTTCTTCTTGTAACAAAATAATATATAGTGATGGATAATAGTAACAACATTTAGCCCTATGCTGCCTAACTAAGTACAACTGCCATTTTTAGGCACATGTGTGTGTGTTACAAGACTAGTAATACATAAATAACCATGAGAATGCATTTTCATAGTAGATGAAGGCTTTGAGGGATGTGGGTTATTAAACCACTGAGCAACTCATGTGTGTTGTTCTCATGGTTCAAGCAGCAATGGACAAATGTTATTCATGTGCTTTACTGTTTTCTGCAATCCCAGATTACAAAGTAGTAAATTTTATTTTACATGTAAGGCAGTATTCTGGATATAAATTTACATTTAGGCATTATGAACTTAGTAAAGAAAATGTTGAAATAAACTTTTACTGAAATCTACTCTTATGTTTCAGCCAAAAGCAAAAAAGTCAAGGAAGTTTGCAGTAATGAAAAAGATGATAAAACCAACGGATTCACGCATGTAAGTATTTCAAATAGGTAGATAGATAGATTTCATTTTTGATTTTTGATCGAATTGACTTGAATTTTTTTTTCACATAGCACTGCCAACTATTACTTAAAGACAGAGAGGGGTTAATGCATTAAGAGGTGAATGAAAAGAAAATAGAATATACAGAAAAAGAAACAGTGAAAGAGACTTAAGATATTGCATTTCTTTGCTCTCTGACAAGTTTAAATTTTTGTTTTTTATCACTCTCAAATCTTCTGTCAATTTCTATCACTGTCTATACTCACATCAACCCTAATTCTCACTGTATGCAGCTGTGTTCCCATTATTTTGGCAGAAGGGAAATAATTGACACTTCTGGATCTGAGCATCACCATGTCAGTCATAGAGTCCATGTGCCTAGACATATTGAATAGCATTTAATCATATCCTTTATTTTTTGTCTATCATATTAAGAAGTTTTGATGTATATACAAAATGATGGAACATCTGATGGAACATCATTTAAAATTCCAGTTAGGCAGATTATAACAAGAACTGCAAAATGAACAAGAGAGTATGTGTCAGTCTTGTATGTTTCTGCTTCTACTTTGAATAATCTAAACTGTGATACAGTTATTTGGTAATTGTTCTTAAATTAAGCTGCTGATAAAGAAATGAGTGGAAATCAGCAATCCTTTGAGTACAATTCTTTTTATTTGCCTTTTGCTCTTCATTTTGATATTTTGCTTTGAGTAAATGACCTTCGTCCTTGGAAAAGTCTGAATGGGGCTTAATTAGGGAGGAAACTAAGGTGTTGAGTAATTAAAGACATGCTAGTATGATGGGCTCATAATGAGCAGATATGTTGCAGCTTGACTGTGTCTGAGGGCTAATGTGGACTGTATGTGATGCACTTTATTACTGACTGTATGTAATGGAAAATGACATCTTCATTCCATTAAGGATTGAAAAATACTTTCAATTCATACTCATGTGCCCTCTGACAACTACGCAAATATACTGTCATTTATATTTTATGAAAAATATTATATGAGCATATGCAAAAGCTAATATCTCAAAAGTGATCAAGGTAAAGTAATAAAAAAGCCAAATATCTAAGCAATTTCAAGCAGATCACTAAAACTAAATAAGAGTTCAAACTATCTCCAGTATTATGTCAGTGACAAAGTAGGACAAATGTGTTGGAATCATTTTTCTTATTATATTTTCAGGTTCTTGATACAAAAAATTGTGACTATGTTTTGTAATTCCTTTTAGAGCTGTCATTCATAGTTTGAAGTGCATACAGATGATACATTATATTTTTTCAGAAAACCAGACGACCGTGTGATCATAAAAAAGAAGAAACCAGACCCTCATGAGCAGAAGGTTAATGAAGCGTAAGTATTTGTTTATAAGCTCTTATTCAGGACACGTTGTATTGATGCCTTACAACATTAAAAAATAAAACAATTTAGTTTTTATCAAGTAAATCTGTGCAGTTTTTATCAAATAAATTTTTGCATGTGGTTAACCTGTTGGATCTGGGTGCATCAGAGCTACTTCCTAAATGCTCATTGAGTCTAATCACCTTCCAAGAGCTTTGTGCACTTGTGGAAAGTCATTCATGTCACCTTGGTTGTCCTGTAAAATTTTTAAGACTGCATATTCTTGTCACCTGGCCCTCAGACAAATTTTGTCATGATATGATGATCATCATCTGGATCCAAGGGGTTAATAAGCATTAAAACAATAACATTTTCACAGTATCTTACTATTGGCAGGCCCCAGTGCTCGTCAGCTTTGTTCTTCCAGTACAACACACAGCTAGGCCCACCTTACCGCATATTGATCGATACCAACTTTGTCAACTTTGCTATCAAGAACAAGGTGGACCTTGTGAAGGTAAAGTCTTATAAAAGTTTGTACAGTTTTATATTGTAGATAGTGGTGCATTGGATTTTTCTTTCTCTTTTTAGTACTTTCACTTAGAGTTTTTTTTATATTCAAAATAGTTAACCTACTACCTCCAGGCAGGCTAAAATATCAGAGGGCCAAAACACAAGTTTTTGAGTAAACATTACTTCATATACTATGTGAGGCCATCCAGCACACTTGGTTCCATGTGATATACATACCAAAAATCTTGGTTTGTGGCTTTGTGTATGATAATATAAAGTCAAAGGGCTATTTTAGGACTAAATTATCACAGTAGCATTCAGCCATCACATGAGTGAATGGCTATAAACTGTGACTAGACTTGGATAAAGATGCCACATATGCCCCCAGTTAGATGGCCATTCCTACCTTGGTATCACATACATACCAGCTGGAGGCATTAAGCCAAGTCTCCAGGTAGCCCTTTTAAGTTTTGCATCTGGCAATTTATTTGCTAAAACATGTTTATACCTTTATAACTGTATCAAAGGTATGGTCTGTCCGCAGCAGATAAAAGTAGGATTTCAAATTATAAAAAATTTAACTTGCTTTATTCTCCAGGGAATGATGGACTGCCTATATGCTAAGTGTATCCCATACATAACCGATTGTGTGATGGGAGAGTTAGAACGACTGGGCGAGAAGTATAGATTGGCTTTGAAAACGATTAAAGACCCACGGATAGAAAAGCTTCCATGTGTGCATAAAGGCATATATGCTGATGACTGCCTTGTTAATCGTGTGACACAAGTAAGTAGTCATTACACAAGAGTTGTTTGTATATGGTGCTGATAACATATGCATATTATCATATGTGTATTGTTTAAAAGGAAAATATACTCTTTTTAATTTATTGTGCTAATTTATAACAAAAGGTGTTTTTACTTATTTTTAATAAATTTTATCCCACCTTTCTAGCACAAATGTTACATTGTAGCAACATCTGATGTAGATTTAAAAAGAAGAATACGAAAGATTCCTGGGGTGCCAATCATGGGTGTTGCTCAAGGCAGGCAAGTATATTTCAATTACAGATTATGCTGTGTATATTAATGCAAAGAAAGATATATGTGTAACCTTGTACCCATATTTATATATCTCCTAGTATATATGAATATATGTATTTGAAAGTATAGATATGTATATACAAAAGAGATGCATTAAGATTTTTTTTTTAAGTTATTTATGTGATGTATTCTTTATTGCAGGTTTTTCATTGAAAGAATGCCAGATGCTCCTCAGATGTAGTTTATGGACTAAAATTGTTATCTTTTTCTGCTTGATTTATTTACCCCAAAATCATGAAGTGCTATATTATGTATTCTATTAATGATATTGTCAGATTGTTAATTTTGTATTCTTTACCATTTGAAACTGTTTTTCAATAAATATTATTGCATTTGATTATTTTTTATTCACTATATTTCAACAATATCATTATTTCTGTAATAAGGAAAATGGAATATTGTATATGAAATTTTCAAAGTAAAAAATATACATAAGTCCTATTTACATTCTTTAACCCAGTAATGGCATTCACATAAGTGCTTGTCACTTATGTGAATGTGGCAATTATAGTAATATCAACATGTGCGAAATTTCATTCCAACAATTGGGACCTGGACTCGCCATATGATATGTCACTTGTCATCTATGATTATTCACCATGACATGACAAGTCGCCAGTTGTTTTATCATTTCATTAAAAAAATGGATCCTATTATACTGAAGTTCATATACAGTATATGTCAGACCCATTGGCAAAGGGGATGGCATGTCCAGACATGCCATGCCCACTTTGATTTTATTTTTATTAATTGTGTTTACTCACCACAAAGTCGATTACTTGTCCTACCTACTGTACTTTGTTTACCCTTTTCCTTGAATTTTGGAATTATAAATTTTTATTTTGTATTCATAGTAGTAGTGTTAATAACACCACTGTATGATAATTATAATGACAATATTAATCATGGCATTAAACTGAAAAATCCCCAAAACTCAAGGGAAATCAAGTGAGGTCATATACATCCACTAATGACTCCTTGGTGGCTGAGCCTTTGTGGGGCCATCTGTGTGTAAACACATTTCACAAAGCATGACTACAGTGAACATTACATGTTCCCAGGGACAGTGGGTAAAAATGGATGGCAAATCATATTTTGTGAACATGAAAATTATTTATTTACTAAGACACAGGGTAAACCATAAAAAAATATTTGCATTTCAGTGACATAGTACCCTTGTTGGGTTCAGTATAGTGATAAACATGTGTGACAAATTAGCAAACCCTATTAAACCTTGCATGGCAGATAAATCCACTATTAGAAAATGAGAGACCATTTTATAAATCCCGGATTTCATTGCCAAATTATAAAAACATGAAGGAAAAGTGTTTCATCCAATGACACCAAGCAGTCTGTAGGCTTGGTAGGGCTGCATTCCAGGGATTTAATTTTTGTGCCAAGTATTCCCGGACAATGTCTGATGACTGTCCTGTTTTGTAGACTTTTTATTTTATTTAATTTTTGTGCCAAGTATTCCCGGACAATGTCTGATGACTGTCCTGTTTTGTAGACTTTTTATTTTATTTATCCCTGCAATTATTCTTTCCTACATTAATTTGTTTTGTAGGTACTGAGTTGATATGCTTGATTTTGTTTCAAACTAGGTATTTGACTAGTTTCAGTTATATCTTTGTCAGAAATAGAATGGAAACCAGTCTAATACATACCTTACATTGAGAGGATATTTATTCTTATTCATACTTTTTCTACGTAGTGTACGTGCAGCTGTGTATATTAGCCATTTTAGTGATTTATTTTTCTTAATTATTTATGTTATAGTTTTGATGTTTAAGAAGAAACTAAATTGTTTATCAACATTCTAATACATTTATGGAAAGAGATTTTTTTCTTACTTAAAAAAGTGTGGTAAAAGTAAAATTATATTGTATATACAATCTATATAAATTCATATTTAGAAATACAAAAAAATACAATTTTCAACATGACTAGCAACAGGGGATAAGGTCAGTGATTTCCTAACTCAAGACTGAGAGTGAAAGTGGGAAGGTATATTTTAAAAATTATTTGGTTGCAGTAGATATAAATATTACTCACATAATCGGGAAGTTATCCTGCTAATGATATCAGTCATCACTGAAGTAAAGGGCACTATTTTTCTAACCCACACTTAATACTGCATGCCTAAGTGCAGGCTTGTATTGGGGAGTGGGGAAGGTGGAGTAATTTTCAAGATAATACAATGAAAGGCAATGCATTAAAATTATACTCACTTTTGCCAACCCTGTGCTTGCCTCCTTGGAACTATCCTGAGGAAGGGAAGGAGGGAGGGAGAGACAAAGATATTCTTCATTTATTTAGCAAGTAGTAATATCAGTACTCTAAATGATAACAAATGGTAAATGACGGCAATTTCTGTTGTTGCTGCTACTACTCCGGTGGCACATGCGCGCGCCCATACTATCGCACTTACACACATGCTCACGCAAACTATTGGAAAGGAAGTTTGAAGAGTATATGGAGTAGAAAGAAGAAATTAAAAGAAGCCCAATAGAGAAGAGATTTCAAAACTAGTACGGTATGCTAAAACTATTGCTAACTTAGAGACGTAAGTATTAGGTGAAAAGGTCTTAAAAGATGGCTTTGAAAGGCACAACAAGCCAACAGGTGATTCGAGAAAAACGTTACAGAATTGAATTTAAAAAACGTCCAATGAAAGTGAAGTGATGCCAAAAGTATGGATTGAAAGAGGAATGTAAGCAAAGGACACGGGAACCTTGCAAAATTATAAAGAGTTCCAGGCTAAAACTGAACAGTGGTCTGAGGGAAAATTTGACTTGGAGGGCGAGAGAATTCCACGTCAAAGAAAGGCTACTTTCAGACCATACAGATGGACAAGCATTAGCATGGTCACACGAGCAATTCATCATCAACGCATCTCTGATTACTATTAGGATGCTATCATTTGGATTATGTCGCTGGCTTCGATGTACACTGACAGGCCTCAGATGCACAGAATGTTTTGTTGGGAAGACCTTGGGCACACAGCATGTAATGTTCATATGACTGAAAATAATATTTAAGACATTTGAATTTATGTGACTCCAAATGCTTTGTGGTTTTGCATTTTCATTGTAGTTATTATAATGGTTTTCATATTGCTTATCATTACACGAAAACGGTTTTATCTACGTCAGAAGGTTCACAGCCGGTGGTACGGTCACCCCAGGTTGAAAAGGCATGCCAGGGATACCAATCTCGAAATATTTCGACTTATGTGTGTTGTGTGGGGGGGGGGGGCGGGACTCCCATCGGTGTCTCCCGGTGCCCTGCAACTCGTGGAAATAAAACTACAATATATATAATCTCTAGTTAGGCTTATTTGTCGCCATACTGCACGCACTGATAAGCTATGGTACCTTATACACGTCAGTACTGATAATAGAAATCTTTGGCGGTGATACGTAAATGCGAATTCGATTGTTCTGTCATCTTTTACGAGAAATTTTATGGGCTACCTCATCACCTGTGACGTGTGTTTATAAACTTTCTATACTGTGTTAAAATAAGACAGAGCATGTCCTAAATTTCGTCGATATTATTGTAAATTCGTTCATACAAGTATAATTCTGTATATGTAAAGAGGGGGGGGGTAACCAAGGCTTGCTTTTTGGATATATACTTGCTGAACTTTGTAGTGTACTGCACTTGTGTTTCTAAAAGTATTTAGAGCCGTATATTGCAGTTGTTTATTTTTAATTTGCTACTCGGTTTTTGGTGAGATTAGGACTACTTTGAGTACTCGATTTGACTGCATTAGCCAAAGCTAGACTATTGTGCTTGGAATAATTTTAGACAATCGGATGTCTCTGTTTCTCCCATTAATTACTGAAGGGAGAGGTACAACACTAAGGTTGCTCAAAGGGTACTGGGGGGGGGGTGAAACCCCTGTACAGTGATGTTTGCCAGGCTTTATAGGTACATTCCAATCCCATGTCTTTGATGGTTTGTGTCCACTGCGGCCGCGTCATTATCAGTGGCTACAAGATATTCAAACCTACCGTGATCT